AACCATTTATTAATTTGAGAAACAGAGAGAGTGAGAGACAGAGCTATAAAGAGATCACCCATCTGCTGGTCCATGTCTCAAATGCCTAGAACCACCTGACCTAAGCAGTGGTGAAATTGGGAGCTTAAAAAAAAAAAAAAAAAGGAAACAGAAAAAGAAATTAGGAACTTGGAACTCAGTCCCAGTCTCCTACGTGAATGGTAGGGACCCGAGCACTTAAGCCATCCCTGCTGCCTTCTGGGGTGCACTTGAGCAGGAGGCTAGAATCAGAGGTGGAGCTCAGTATCAAACCCAGACACTCTGATGTGGGGTGCTGGCGTCTTAACTGCTACACTGCATGCCCAGCCCCAAGTATGTCTCCCTCAGATATTAGAGGTTTTATAGCATGTACTTTTGCTGCTTACTGTTGTTGTTTAGAAGAAGGAAAGCTTTTGTGATTGTGATGCAAGTTGAACTGGATGCCTTTTTCTTGAAATACCAGGCACCATGGAATTACCAGTTTTACCCGAAAGAATGTTACACAAACTATAGTAATTCAGGCATGGGTACTAAGCAAACATTTTCTCAAAAATGAATGAACTGAGACATTTGATGACAATGATAACAATCAAGCTTTCAAGCCCAGAGCAGAATTTCGGGAAACTTATTTGCCACTGTGAACTTCTGTGGCTTTCCAATACCGAGACTGGGAACAATGACAATATTCATTGATACGATTTTTTTGGACATTGTATAATGGGAAGTATCTAGACGTGCAGAGTTCTGCTTGAGCATGTGTTCTCTCAGTGACCAATGTGAGCTACCATAAAATCAAACACAAGTAAAAGACCCATTCAAAGATCAAGAAAGGCTAAAGGACTTTAATGTAATAAACTATAAAATATTTACTGATGCGACATTAGAAAGCCACATTAATACCATACTTAAACCACCACTGTTGAATTTTGCTATGATATCAAAGAAGAAAATCCTGGCAGATGTTAAAATCATCCTGTGTTTGTCCATTTATTTGTATGTGGTTGGATTTTCTTCAATGCACTTTTAACCCAAACCACATTTTTCAGCAGATTGTGTGTGGAAGTGAATATGAGACTCCCACTGTCTTCTATAGGCCAGATATTAGATTTGCAAAAATATCTAATAATAAAACTTCTATAAATTTTTTTTGGAAAAAGTGATTTTTTCATAAAAGATGTTAGTATTTGGTACTCTTTTATAATTAATCAGAATAAATACTGCATGGGCCAGCATGGTGGCTCAGAGGGTTAGGCATTCCTCCTCAGATGCCGTCATCCCATATGACTGCCCAGTTCAAGTCCCAGTGGCTTCACTTTTATTCTAGCTCCCTGCTAATGTGCCTGGGTAGGCAGCAGAGGTTGGTCTAAGTGCTTGCGCCCCTGTAGTCATGTGTGAGAAGCAGATGGAGTGCCAGGCTCCTAGCTTCAGCTTGGCCCAGCCCCAGCCCCAGCCTTTGTGGCCATTTGGGAGTGAACCCATGGATGGAAGATCTCTGTATGTCTCTGTCTTTTAAGTATATAAATTTAAAATTTCTAACGTTCCCATGTTTACTTCTAATAGAGCAAATATGCATAAACATAATGCATACCAAGCATTTTGGGGTCCTAAATAATTTTTAAGAATGAAAGGGACCCTGAGACCATTAACTTGAGAATTCCTGGCTAAAATATATTTTACTGTATTTTTTAATAAAAGCTCCCCTAGTTTCTGTTTAGTTTGCTATTACTAATGTTTCAGCCTCTAGCCTGTCTGTATAGTGGGCTGTCTTTATGGAGCAAGAAAGGTATCAGACTTTTATGAAGAATGAAAAAAAATAAAATATGTAAAATCTCCTAGTCCTTTAACAAAACCTTCACAAATTAGGTATTTTCCACTTTTTCTGCTTGAGTTATTTTCTAAGCTTGTTTGGTTATCCATTCACCCAACAAAATATTAATGAAGCAAATATGCACAATAACCCTCACACCTTCCTCCCACCTTTTTTTGCTTATGGCTGTCACCTGTGGGGTTCACAGGCTTGACCCAGAACTGCAGACTCCCTCCCTGTGAGGCCACTGTCCAGGAGGGAGTGGCCTGTTTAGCACCTAGTTTACTTAAGGTAGTAGGTACTCAGTGGAGGTGTGTGGATAGATGCTCACCCCTTGTGCACAGGCACCAGGCTCCACGTTCTGGCAAGCGTGGCAGGTGAGTTGTGAGAGGTGTATGTTTCCTCTTATTTTCGTGACTTCTGTTTGAGCTCCCAGTTTTAGATTGTAACTTGCAATTTTCTGTGGGATTTTATTCTTGCCAGTACTACTTCTAACTAAATACATTATAGCAGGAACGGGGAAAGGATTCATTTTTCTTGAGTGGCTGCTGTAGGCCAGGAATTAGCATGTCTCAGTGTGTCAGCATCTCTTAGCTTCATTGTGGTGTTTTATAGGTGGTGGAATAGAGGAGGGTGACAGAAGTAAAAAACAAAACAAGATGTGGCCAGGGTCATGGCAGATTCAACATCAGCTGTTTATCTGCAAAGCACCTCCTTTTCCCACCGGGCCGGATTGCCTCTATAGAAGGCTCAGCTCCTGTGGGACTGTGGGCTCCCTGCTTTAGACTTATTGAGTATTATGGTCAGTAGTGAATTAAGCCTGTGAATATGGAGTGGATTAAAAGTGATGTCTTTGCAAAAACTGATGAAAGGAAGAGAGGAGAGGAAGAAAAGGGGTTGAGGGGAGGGAAGTGTGGCTGTCTTCTTGGAACTTTACCTATGGAATGCATGAAAGCTAGATGTTCTCTTTATATTAATAATAAAAAAAAAACCACAAAAAAGGAGTCTCAGTCCCAATGCTATTGCCTGTTTTATACAATGTGATTATTGCCATTGTTAGGTAAACAGCCAGCCAAGGCCCCTCTCACCCCACCCCAGTCCTGCACCCTGTTGCATCTTCAACTAGTATCTATAGGTACAGCACAGTTTTCGTTGGACGTGGTCATCTCCTTAAGTGAAAGGAAATGGATTGGATACCAGTTGTCTTTTTCCTTTAAGTCTTATCCTTGGCCTTTATTAGCTGTGCCATCTTGTTCAAGTTAGCAGTCACCCCCACCTCTGGTTTCCTAATTGATGAAACAGGAGCAATAAGAAAAAGCCTGGCCTAGTGTCACCTGGTTGCCAGAAACACCCAGTAAGACGACAGTACCTGTCTAAAGGTTTTAAAAACAGAGGGCGGTACCCATGGAGTTCAGTATTGGAGTCATTCATTGGATGTCTTGGGCTGTCACTATATATAAAAATTATGCAAAATATCATTAGTGAGTTTTTCTCTTGACTCTAAGGGTGGCTTTTTGAGATTGCTTCTCTTTTGCACACTTGATCCTAGCCGAAAGGCAGGATCTTTCTCTTTGTGTTTTAGGTTGAGTCATAAAATTGCCGATACTCTTTTTACTTCCCCAAATGGCGATTTCATATGGTTAATGCTAATCCATTTACAGTTATCAGTAAAGTTACATACAGATGCTAGAAACAGTTATGTCTATTTTAGGAGAGCAGGGATATAGCAAAAAGCAGGTAATCTCCTTCTAGTTTTGCTTTTCCTGTGGCATCTTTCTCAGGCTGCCTGGGGAGGGGGGGGATTGTATGGAGGAAGCACTGGAGGCCCTGTATGTCCTCCCCTGATGGGTGGGCCTGATGTGCAGGGTGGGCTGAGCTGGAGAGGAGAGCTGCAGAGGCCACTGTAGTCACTTGGGTATTACACACACACATCTCACCTAACATTTTCTATGTAGCATAATATTTTACCCCCCTTGCAAATTCTTTCTTAAGTGTTGAACATTGGCAGGAGCTTGGGTAGGTATAAAAATGGGTTAGAGTTAGAACGGTATTTAAGAGGCTGTATTTTCCCCACTTAGAGAGTTATTTCTTGAGAAGAGTCTCCCTCCTCCACACTCTTTTTTTTTTTTTTTTAACCTAACTTTAGTGGTTTTAAAATTGTTACGACCAGGGGAAGTATTGTGGTTCATAAATTCTTTAAGCCTCTACCATCCATCGGTTGCAATGCTAGAATTTCTTCAGAAAATAAGGCTAATTAAAATTTTTTTTCCTTAAGAAATAAGCTAGGGTAGATTTCAAGCTTGAATGCAGTTTTAAAGTTATGCCTTAGTGGAGATTTTCTGGAGTTTACTGGGCAGTTTCTAGAAAAACAGGCAATGGAATAAAGTTCACGAGGTAGATTCTTTCTTTGCCACCCACAAGTTAAAACTGAATAAAACTGTGAAAGTTGATATTGAAATGTCTGTTCAATCTCAGAAGTCAAAATCTGGAGGTGAGAATCAAGGAAATGAAAACTAAAACCTAAGGTATTAATACAAATTAAACAGCAACCATGAGACAAATTTAATTCCTGTTTTTTTCCCTTTGAAAATAAATTGCGACTCACCATTAGATCCACACCAGTAGCCCGGGGAATTGGGGTTTCAGGGAAGACTCTGAGGGCTGCCTTGCATGAAATATTTCACGTTTGGTTTCAGTTTTTTTTGGTGGGGTTGTAGCCTTTTGTACTCTAAAACCAAACCTATTTTTTTGGTTTTCTCTCTTGAGCATTTTACTTCTCTGCTGGATGGCTGTTGCTTTGAGGGTTACATCAACACCCAGCTATACTGGTCCATGTTACCATATCAGATAAGTGTTTAACTCCTTGTCCACATTCATAAAATCATACCCTGTAATAGATTAGCTATTGTTTTTTAAAACAGGAATTTTCTAATGCCTTAATGAGTACCATGGAAGAAAAACCATGCTTCATTAAATTAGAAAATAATACTTTAAAGGGCATTTGAACTAGACTTAATTAATTCCTTGAATTTGGAAAACTCAGATCTCACCTATAAATCTGTCATTCCATCTATTAAAAAAAGAACTTAGAAAATCAAGAGCAAAAAGCCTTTTTCAGTGAAGTCACAACTATTCTTTAAATATACTCTGCGCTGGATGGGATTTTTCTACTTACCACTCTCTCCAGTCTCCTATGGTCTCTGTAGGCAAGACTGGATCCGCGACTGAGTGTAGCATCTGATGTTGAGGGAAATCTACTTGCTTTCCGCCTGGACTGCTCCTGTTGACCAGTGGGAAATGCTGCATTAGCTCACAAACCAAAACATTTAAAGTGCTCTCTGAAATGTTGACGTCTTGCCAAATGCTTGAATGTCAAGTACTACAGATGTCCAGTACTCTTTGGAGCCGGGATCCAATAGGAGCTTGTGTAGGTTGGATCTGATTTGGATTTGCTTAGGGTTACAAATTATCAAGGCCTCGCCAAACAGTAAATAGTGTGAAACCAGGTAGAGAGCGAGCGAGAGAGGGCAAGGGAGTGAGGGAGCGAGCGAGCTTGCTACAGCTAGCGGAGGATAGATCTTTCCCATGCCTGGTTGTGACCTTTTCCTGTGAAGCTGTTGTAATAATAGCTCCTATGTTTTATTGGAAAATATTTGCAAGTTGTGATTCACATGGCTTCAATTAAACCCTTGAAACTTGTTGGAAAACTGAAAACACTTGGGGTAAATTATATTTGCACCTGTGCCTCTCAGTACCCCGGCAGGAAGGCTGTGCAAGTTGATGTTAAGCTGGGGGTGTTGCTCAGCACAGGGCAAGGAGAGTGTCCGAGGAGAAGAGGTGGTGAAAGGACCCAGAGCGCCTCTGCGTGGTGATTCACTTGCGCACGGCAGCTGAAGTGTGGCTTTGTAGCCTGGAAGTGCCTCGTCCTCTCCAGCTTTGGTCCTGACACGCTCCCGGCCTTGAGTTGGTACTTTTGGGTCTCTGACCTTTCCTCAGTTTACCCACTTGACCTCAGCCTGGTTTTAGAAAACCTGTTTCCTTCTGCACGACTTGACTCCAGTTTCCGAATATTTCTTTAACAAACTGCTCTTGGGGTTTCTTTTCTCCACTAGTGCCCTGCATTAACACAGCCTTGGTATGTGTCTCCAAAAGCAGAGCTTGAATCTCTGTCCACTTTGAATTCATCCAGTTCTGAGCCTGTACCATCTGTTGACTTGTGTAACCATTTCTTCCCCTCTGTTTTAGAGAAGCATGCTTATTATCTGTCATTGTTAGTATTATTATCCAACAAAATAGAGCTCTTCTTTAACCACAGGTCCCCTCTATTAAGCAACTGTCCAAAGTTTACCTCCATCTCCTTATCTACCCTTGTTGAAAAATGGTTTGTGTTTGCTGCCTTTCCTTCTCCTTTTAGTCTGCAAGCTTTCCTATTCTTTCAACACTTCCTGCAACTGCCCAGAGAACTCTGCATTGCTCGTACAAATATATGTCATAGCATATATTCCATGTTTTTAAAGCAGTGTTTTCTTTCTTTTTTTTTGACAGACAGAGTGGACAGTGAGAGAGAGAGAGACAGAGAGAAAGGTCTTTCTTTGCCGTTGGTTCACCCTCCAATGGCCGCCACGGCTGGCACACTGTGCTGATCCGAAGGCAGGAGCCAGATACTTATCCTGGTCTCCCATGGGGTGCAGGGCCCAAGCACTTGGGCCATCCTCCACTTCCTTCCCGGGCCACAGCAGAGAGCTGGCCTGGAAGAGGGGCAACCGGGACAGAATCCGGCGCCCTGACCGGGACTAGAACCTGGTGTGCTGGCGCCGCTAGGCGGAGGATTAGCCTGTTGAGCCACGGCGCGGGCCAGCAGTGTTTTCTTTTATGTCTGGCAACATGAATGTAACATAACACTGACTGCTTTTGCCAATTTTAAATGCTTTGTTCAGGGGCATTAATTACATTCACATTGCTGTGCAACCATCACTTCCATATCTTGCTAAGCTGATCATGGGGATGTATTAAATAATAGCCCCTTCTTCCTCTAAACTTGGAGACCACCATTTCATTTACTTGCTCTGTAAATTTGACTACCCTAGGTATTTTCTGTAAGTAGAATCATATCTGCCTTGTAAAAAGTGTTTTTGTTTGTTTGCAAGGCAGAGAGCGTGTAGTTGAGTGTGTATGGGTGAGTATACTCCATCTGCTGGTTCACTTCCAGACGCCTGCAGCAGCTAGGGCTGGGCAGGCCAAAGGCATGAGCCTGGAGCTCAGTCTGTGTCTCCCATGTAGGTGATGGAGACTGACATGTTTTAGCCATCACCTGCTGCCTCCCAAGGCACACATGAGCAGGAATCGGGAGCGGGGCTGGGACTCAGACATAGCCACTTGTGATATGGGATGTGGGTGTCTCAAATGACATCCTCACTGCCATGCTGAATGTCTGCCCCTCATATTTGTCCTTTCGTGTCTGGCTTATTTCCCTTAGCAGAATATCTTCAAGGTTCATTCACATTATGTCATGTGTCAGAATTTCATTCCTTTTTCAGACCTAATAGTACTCTGTTGTATATATACCCCACATGCTATTCAAATAATCTCTCTCTCCATGGTCACGTGGGTTATTTCCACCTTTTGCCCATTGAGAATACTGCTGCTGTGAACATGGGTGTAGAAGTATTTGTACAGGATTACACTTTTATTTTGGGGGAGTACAGTAGTTCCCCTTATCCGTGGTTGGACTTTTCCTGGATTTAGCTACCAAGGTTGACCATGATCTGAAATATAAAATGGAGAATTCTAGAAATAGCCTGAAGTGGGTCCTCTCTTGTGTCCTCACTTGTTGAACTCTGCATCCCTGAAAACCCACTCAGTCTGCAGCTTTTATGAGAGCTTGTCTTCCCACTGAGAGTGAGTGAGTGGTTTCTCCCTCTCTGGTCTCCTGAAGTGCTTGATTTGAATTCTGAGCAAGCCACTCCTCTGACTTTGTACTGTGTCATTGATGATAATGGCTGTTTCTCCCGGTTTTGGGAAAAGGTGGGCCTTTCACTAATGCTGCTGTAGATTTATTCCATGCAGTTACTTGGCTGTTGGGGGTGGGGTGGGTATGCAGCAGGTGAGTTTTGTGCAGCTGCTGTCACCCCTACTTTCAGGTCAGCTTACCGGGCTTAGAACAACATCTGCTTAGCAATCTGTGGGCACTTCTGTTCCTAAGACTGCACCTCCATAACGCATGAAGATGAAATACGAGAAATATGATTGTATTTTATCAATGAGAACCTCCACAATTTTTATTTTTCCCCTAACCCAAGAAATTTTGATATTTGTTATACTTCCTTCTTAATTGGATTCTTTTTTTGATTTTGTTTTTGTTGGTAATTTAAATGAACTGATTTAAAATTTTAATCAAAGTCATGCATTTAGGTACATTAGGAAATCCAATAATTTTATAAAACTTAGAATTAAAAAATAGTCTATACTCATTTCCTATGCTCCATTTTTAGGTTCTCATCTCCCATTTTTCTAGTTATCTGGAATTTCTAAGCTTTCAGTAGGATCTCTTGACTTTTTTTTCTTTATTATTTAAAAAATTGAGAGAGAGAAAGGAGCCCGTATCTACCAACTGGCTCCTAAAATGCCCACAGTGACCAGGGGCTCTGGCAGAGCTGAGGCCAGGGCTGGAGCTGGGGACTCCATCCGGATCTACCGTATGTGTCAGAAGCCCAGTTAGATCCCTCACTGCTGCCCAGGGTGTGTCTTAGCAGGCAGCTGGAATCGGGCTCTCAGTGCCCGACTCGGGCATCTCAACTGATAGTTTGCTTTATGACTCTCTTAAGAAGTTCTATGTTCTACTTGTTAAGCAAGGACCTTGGTCATATTCATTTAAGCATTTCGACAAGGCGTTAGAAGATAGCAGCTTCTGAGCCGCAAGTCAACGGGCTGCAGTTCCGCTGGTGGAACTGATAAGACGGCTGGGGGACCATTTTCCTGTAAGAATAAGCAACCGGAGAAAAGAGCTAACAGCCAAGTAACTAACTGAGGGAATGTGGGGTGAAGGCAGTGGTTTTCATTCATGGGTGAAAATGCCTCTTTGGGGTTTACATGAATTGGCATCCTTCCCGCGTGATGCATACTGTGATCTAAATATCCACTGTAGATTTTTTGCATTTTTCAAAAGATAGGGGCTAGGGAGCAGCTGGGTAAGGAGCATCCGGCGGAGCAGAGAGCAAGCGCCTGGCGGTTGGCTATTGTCTGGCATCAAGGGTGTGTGGCTGTAAAGCCCTACCACAGTGGCTCTGCATCCTCTGCTGCCGCCTGTGCTTCCTGCAGACACGAGCGGCTGAGCACAGCCCCTTCTGCAGCCTGTGTCCTCTCCCACGGTTCTCAGGCAGTCTTATCACCGCGAGCCCACTGAGATGCAACCTTTGACCATCTTTGGCTAGAGAATCATTCAGGAGAAAGGGAAGAAAAAAATTCCAGTGATCTGTGTGCTCTAGAATGGAGCCAAAGTTAGGATCGGACTAATCTGGGATTCCTTGCAGCGAATGTACACAACAAGGGTCCATAGAGTTAAGTGTATGTACAAAAGCCAGCCCTGCCTCTTGTGAGCTACGGGAGCTTGGTCTAGTCATAAAATCTCCTAAATCTCTGTTTCTTCATCTAAAAAAAAAAAAAAAAAAAAAAAAAAAACCACCACCACCACCAAAAACACCAGGTTGTAGTACAAACTACCTCCTCAAAATTTGTAGGACTGTTTAAATGGCAGTGGACATTTAGCCTGGCTGCAATAAGGCACCCGTGCCCTGAATTAGGGTGCCTGGGTTCATTTCCCAGCTTTGGCTTCTGATGCTAGCTTCCTGATGACGTTCACCCTGGGAGGCCTCTCTGATGGCCCAAACAGCTGGGTTCCTGCCACCCATATAGGAGACCGCGATCACATGTCTGGCTTTTGACTCTGACCCTGGCCCAGCCCTGGCTGCTGCATGCATTTGGGGGAGTGAACCTAGCCATGGGAGCTTATTCTCTCTCTTGCACTCTTCGCTTGCTTGCTCTTTCCTCTTCTTTCTCTGCCACCTCCTCCCCTGTCTCCTCCTCCCGCTCATATAGAAAATGATAATTTTTCAGGAAGTTGCTGGAGCGTAAATAAAGTAATGGGTGTTTTCTTATTGTAGTGACCAAGTAGATGGGCTGTAAATGATATTAGGCTAATTGTTGCTTTACAACTGTTTTTGAAATCATATTATTGCTTAGATCTATGGTAGAAATCCTGTTGTGCTTTGCGGTTTGAGTAGG